CCCCAAAACCCCAAAACCCCAAAACCCCAAAACCCCTTTAATTTTATTAAAAATTGATTTTACGAATATTTTTCTGACAAAAGCCTTAAACTATAAGATAGAAGAGAATAATGATGACTTCTAAACTGCTTAATCTATCAACCTATGAATGAAAGTTATTCCTATATTATGAAGCATAGAGAGGCTCAAAAGTAGCACTTTAACCTTGTGTGTGACTATCTCTTCTATACAATCTTGCACTAAGATCTGATGTTCCTTTTGATTCCTTCTTGTGACACTTCCACCATAATTAGAATTCCAGATATCCAGAGTTATAACAAGTCTTGCTGCTCTGAATAATCTCAGATTGAGTGAGCATCACAGTCAGGCTAATCCTGAGCTGATAGAAACAGACTAAGCTTACTAGATGTGACACATAACCCCTCAGAAGTAGCATTTCCTCATGCAAGGAATAAGCTGAGAAATCTAGAATATATTGATAAGCTACATGTTTTTGTTAGTTTCAAGAGCCTTGGGTTAGAAATAACACTTAAAATGATCAACTTGCTATTAATAAATCAATTCTAGTCAAGCATCCTGGCTTTTCCAGCTATTTAGGTGATACTTAGGAGGATATAAACTCATGCTGAAATAGTATACCGCTAGAAATCCCAGAGAATACCCAGAGAAATTGGAAGTTGACTTAAAACCAAAATTCGGATTGGAATGTAACAGTAAGAGCCATTAGTCATAAATATTTACGGTAAATTTCCGATGTCATAATTCCTGATTTCAGGCACTGATCTTTGCTACCTATATGTTATAGGAAGCCAAATGGTCACTCTCTTTAAACAAGTATTGAGCTTGGAGGCTGCCATCTACTGGATGAGCCCATTAAGATCTTCAGTGTCTTTCTCAGGCTGCACAATGGTATTCATATTAAGATCAAGTTGGGTGATCGAAGAATGTGAATTATCAAGATAGTCAAGATGATCAACAGTAATAGTACACTTCATAAACTGCACTTTTGTTTTGCTTTTACAAGCCATTAGGATCCTTCCAAAATCCTTGTGTGATATCTTGAAAAAAGTGATAATCACTGACACAACTGTCTTCGAGATAATCTTAGTGATACTCCTGGTATAAAAACTGAAGTCTACTAAGCTCATTTTGCCTTTTAAATACAATTTATTGATCTTTTATACTTTAAATTCGCTTAAAAATCCAGTACAGGGACTACAAAGATTCTGCACCCATTTTCTCGCACCTTGTCATAATCTGGAATCACAGATGGGATATATGATTGGCTTGGACTCCCTCCTTAACCAATTTCTTAAATCATATCTTCTTATGAGGGATGCCAAAGCCTCCGATGACACTCTTCTTGTCAAAATCTTTCGTATATCTATTGAAATATTGATTGTTCACAGCATCTAATGTGCTCATGTCTAGTGTCTCTAATTGAGTATGTATAGCACGCCCTTTAGAGTCTTTCATTTGCTCAGCTCCACATCCAGCAATTGAATTTAATTTCTCCATTTGCAATAATAATTCAATCCAGGTAAGAAAGATTGGGGTTTTGGGGTTTTGGGGTTTTGGGG